ACATATTAAACAAATTTAAAGTTAATTGAGTATAAAGATTAAAATATATTTTTAACTCGGGCAACTTTAAAGTCAGCTTGAGTGAATTTTAAATCGAATGTGAATCTCTTGATCTCTTGATATACCAAATGTTTACTCATGATATAACTTAAATATAATTGATCAGAGGTTTGTTTTTAGAATACTAAATAAATTTAGGTGCTATTAAGTATAAAGAAAATATCAGAGCATATTTGTAAGTCCAATTTCACTGAATCGTAACTTGAACCCTAATCTATTGCTCCACTTCAAGTACGTAAAGCTATTACTACATCAATGTTTATGGTATTATATCATATATCACATCAACAGCTATCAAAGTTTATAGAAGTTGCATATATCAGATATTAAATGATATCCTATATCAGATATCATATATATACACCTCAGTTAAAGGCACTTTTTTTAATTTTTTCAAATTTTCTTTTTTATTTGTTTGCAAAGAAACCTGCGCGCCCGCCTTGTGAGCGTCCAAGCTGTGTAAAAAACATAGTAACTAAGACCAGTGGAGACCAGTAGCTGGAAGCGGCGACAAGGACATCGTCGCTGGGCATCGTCAGCGCTGGGGGGAGGGGCGCTTAGTACGATGGGCCCGAGTAGCTGGGGCCGGACTGGCTGGGGCCGTAGCTCTGGCCGCCATAGCTGCCCTCGCGGTCGCCAGCAATGTTGGCCAGGGCGGAGAGACCATGGTTGCCGCCCTGGAGCAGCTGGTAGCCAGCACTGACGGCGGCATTATCGGCGCCGGAGGCATACGCGGGGAGGGCTTGGCCGCCGGGGCCATGCTGTTGTGGGCCGGACACAATGGGGCCGGGTCTGTTCAGGATGTGGTGGCCCTGGCCGGATCCGTGCGAGCCCTGGCCGTATCCCTGCTTGTTCTCATTGACAAAGTACTTCTCTGCTGGGGGCTTCACCACGTTGACGAACACGGGCTCGACCTTGACGCGACGTGGGTGGTGCTTGACGTAGACCTTGCGGAGCACGATTGCTGGGGGCTTGTGGAGCACAACTGGGGCGGGCTTGACAACCAATGGAGGATGGTTCACCAGCACCTTGGTGGGTGGGCGACGCACAATGATGGGTGCCGGACGATGGATCAGGATCTCGCCCTTGTTCTGTGGGTAGGTGATCGAGGAGGTGAGGGTGTTGCCCTTGGTGTTCACCGGCTTGTAGGGAATGTTCTGGTCGGAGCCGTAGCTGCCCTGACCGGCCTGGGCGACGCCAGCGGCATCGGCATTGCCAGCCAAAGCGCCAGCTGAGGCGCCATCGCCGACACCGTTGCCGTACTCACCGGCACCGCCAGCGGATGCAGCGGCTGCTGCATCGCCGTCGGAGCTGGAGCTGTAGCTCTGCTGTGAGCCCGGGCCGTATGACTCCTGGTTGCCGCCAGAGCCGTAGTTCGGTTGTACGCCGTAGCTGCTAGCGCTGGCACATGCCTACGAGAGAGAATTAGAGAAAGAGAGAGAAGCAGAAAGAGAGAGAGAGAGAGAGACAAAGAATGAGATGGCGAATCAATGAGCTGCAGCTGCGATCTCTGCTCTAAGCTGAGATGTAGAGCAAGTGGGTCATCGACCGATCGATCAATCGACTGATCGACCGATCGACTGATCCACCGATCGACTGATCAACCGATCGACTTTTCAACTGTTCGACTGGGCGTATTCGTTACGTACAATTAAGCAGGCGGCTAGCGCCCATATGATGCTCTGTCTGTTCATCGTTTCCAGTCCCAGTTGGCGGTATCGAACTCGAGTGGCTCGTTGTGCGACCGTCTGCTGTCTTCTGCTGCCTTAGCTGGCTCTGAGATTTCTTTAAATATGCTGCCAACGAATGGTCGCCCTATGGTACGTGACATTTGGCCCGGTCGACGCCGTTGCTGCTGCTGCCGGTTGCCGCTGTTCCGCTCCAGCTTGGTCGCATTGTTGTTGCTATTGCCCACGCCAGCTAGCGAACATGGCCAAATGCTGATTACGCTCGCACGCATCTCGGTGCGCATATCTCGGCGTGTTACGTCGAAAACAACAACAATTGCCACAGCCATATTATAAGCCCCATCAGCCAACAATCCGCAAACAACATCTCGTGCATCGTGCGCCGTGCCCTGACACATAAGCCATATCGAGGTTTTCCACAACAGCACAGCACAGAACAGAGCAAAACCGACTGTCTGAGCGCAGATTGTGATTGCCAAATGGCAATTCAACAGTTCCGCATTGAAAGCTCCAAGCGATTAGTGGCAACAGCGCCAAGCCCGCAGCTGATCGCCGCTGGGCGAGTGGCCCATGTCGAGTTACAAGCTCCAATTTCCCCAGCTCCCATTCCCAACTCCCTTATCGCACACTCCTAGCCAACGGATAGATCATATGAGTATGTGAATTGGCATACACTGCAACCAAATTTGCTGCAATTGGCTTTCGATATTGCAGTTAGAGCTACATACACTGCAAACAAAAGTTTGGTGTCTATTTCTAGGCAACTCTATTTATTTATGGCCAACGTGGCTCTAAAGTGTCATATCGCCTTTACTTTATACACTGCAAACAATTTTAGGTGTACTTGAATTAAACCAGATTCTTGAAGTTTGAGCAGCTATAAATTATTCTATAAATGGATTTTGGGAGTTTATTTTGGCTGACGTGGCTTTGGGCATATTTAATTGTCATTTAAATTTATTTACATGGATACACTGCAATCAATTTATGTGCCTTTTTCTGTTAAACTTTGAGAGAGCTGCCAAAATATAACTTTATTGAAAATTTTATCTTTGGGTATAATAAATTCGCATACAACTTAAATTTTATACACTGCAAACAATGATGTCAATTCGTAGTGTATTTTTTCAGATTTGTAGATCAGAGAAAAAAATATTTTGGGATTTTATTTTATTTATTTATTTAATTTTTATTTTTTTTGCAATTAGCATCAATGAAAATCAAGTTTTTGTCCAGCTCTAGGCACCTTTTTGTATTCATAGCTGATGAGGCTTTAGGCACGTTAAAATGTCAGAAAACTTCAACTTTATACACTGCAAACAATTGTTCTATGTGTTATTAATTTTTTGATTATAGTAATTCCAATATATATTGGGAGATTTTGTTCTAGAGTTAAGACTGGATGGAAATGCTTTAGCTGACGTGGCCTTAGGCTGGGTAAAAATTAGCCATAAAATGTTTGCTTTAATTCTTATACAAATAATAA